TCAAATGGGTCTTATTTTGTTTGTTTTACTTCGATTACTTATTTTATGGGCATATTATTCTAAGGACAACGAACTACAGCAAATGAATCACTATCGACAGCCCGATTGACCCACAATAATAGAACGCATTCTCAACATTTATCTCAGTTAATTTATTTATTTACTCTCAGTATGCAGTTGACAGCGCATCCAGTACATTTTTGTAGTAAAATGGCACATTACATGAAGCTACAGTGTTATATTCATTTATTCCTTTTTTCATGTGCATAATTACAGGGTGAAATTTTGTTATGCCACCTGGAGGGAAAGTAGGTACTCTTAATAATGTAGATAGAAAATTTTACTCAAAGAAAACGTTCCTTTATTTTTTAAAAGAAATAGAACTGCATTCAAAGATTTCCAAAAAACTTGCCACCAAACCAACTAAAATCTGTTAAAAATTACACCCTGTATTTTTATTGCATCGATTGTTAGGGTTAAGCATAAGGATGAAATCTCTCTAACAAACTTGATTAATAAAATGAAAGAAAAAAGTACTGATTTTGGTAGTTGAGTAGGTATTATGATTGATTTTCATACGTGACAATACCACATTGTACCTACTTACTTGCATGTAATAGGTAGTAATAGTAAGTAAGTTGACGTTTCTCGTCTGCGAATTCGCAAGGTCATGATGACTGTAAAAAGTTGAACTCAAATCAATTTGAATCGTGAATCATTGCAAAAGATCACGTTTTCCTAAAATTTCCACCGTGCGATTTTATTATTGTCAAAAGAGCAATCAATGAGTTTGACTTTCGGTATTAATCCAGTTCATTAGGAAACAACAACGATCATAAAAAAATGTGGAAAAAAATACTACGAGTAAATTTTGTACTTTGTATTCTTTTACGTTTGGGTTCCCAAGAGCACCTACGGGACCCAGGCACCTCTTTCCCGGTGAACAGTCTGGGCTTGTGCCGCTTGTACCTAGGGCCCAGTGATGATTGAGGGCCGAAGTCGGCTCAAAAAAAATAAACAGTAATACCAAAGTACCTACCTGTGAATAATATCAGTTGTCGTATGTACCTACCTAACTGCTGAAAAGTACTACCTAACTATCATTTTGAATTTTCCCGTTTTTTAGAGAAAAGTGGTTTGACGTTTTTAATGCTAGGCCTCCGGTAGATTTGTGTGGCTTTATTGTGTTTTCCTCATCATTTAAAAAAAATTAAAAACCTACTTATTTATAGATATTAAACAGAAGAAGTTAAAAAATTCCATACAAAGTAGCCTATGTAAAAAACGCACTATTTTATTTACTCTAGGCTTTAATATAAACTAAGACAAAGAAAAATATATCTACGTATATTTACACTATGTCTGCGTTATTTCTATAGCAAACGTTGTTATAAATTAGTTATTTTAATATGATTACTAAGTTTACTTATGGACTAATATTGTTTACTTTACATTCAGCGTCTGTCTAGCCATTTGGTAGCTTTCAGCTCGGGACAGTTAATCTTTCTTAAATATTAGTAGGTACTCAAATTAATTATGACGTCATTATTCAGCCGTTCGAAGTTTGCGCAGCACGCCGTTAAAAAATCTTTTCGATTATTTTAGACGTCAAAATGTGTCAAAATGCTTGGGCGCGTAAAATTTATAAAATGGCACGATAAAATCTTGTCGCGGCTTAGGTCGCGGCGAGCATTCTAGGCCTACATACAGGTCATGTTGGATTTTATTTTATTCTATACTATGATAGGTCACTATAGTCGGTTAAGTCTTAACCATTATGGAGGCTTACTAAAAGTAAAAAATCAAATTAAAATAATAATATAGGTTAAAATATCAAAAACATACGAGTACTTTACACATCGAACCCCAGATCAATACAAAGTACACAAATGTTTGTAATGACCGGGGATCGAACCCACGATCTCTGCTATAAGTAAGTACGCACAAACCAACAGCACTGCCAGGCATTGAAGTAATATTACTGTAGGTACGTACCTAGTAGGTAAGTACATACATTATATTATATCTCAATGCTGCCAGAGGTGGAATTGTGTAAAGCAATCGTAATTATTTGACAGACAAACGCTTTGTTTAATTGACTTTTTGTGACTTTATCGTACGTTATGAACTGTCAAATGATTACGATTGCTTTACACAATGAGGGTTTTCGCGAATGAAAGATCCGCTAGATGGCGGGACGTGGATGTGGGGTCTGACAGGGTCTGACTGCTGCGTGATTAGTGGATTTTGACATATCTGTCAATGTCATGTCAAAAATAACCAATCATGCAGCATTTGGACCTCGCCAGTGGCGGCGTAGCATGGGTTGGCACCCGGGGCGATCACCCACCTGTCCCCCCCGTCATAAGTCCTAAGGCACCCACTGGTACCCCCCAGGATTTTGGAGTTAGGTACCTACCGATTCGAAGATTGAAAGACAATTCGTTTTGTTTGTAAGACAATTGACCAAGTAAGTCTCTAAAGAAATCTCAGAACATTGACTGATATTCTTTACCATGCAACGATTAGTTAACCCTTTACGGCGCTCAATTGCAGTTCTGCATCATACCACTTGAACTCATAGAATCTTTCAAACAGTAACAAAAATACCTTATAACGTAGTGCGGCATATCTGCAGCAAAGCACCCTTACGAGTTAGTTAACTCTGTTTGTGCTAGATGGCGCTATTTTATTTTTGTGATCACCTAAAGTGAGAAACTTGTAAAATCCGGTTTGTTTTGTTCGGTGGTGATTTTGATTCTTTGTTTTTCTGGTGTTAATGAAAATATTGATCTGAAATTGGTGTGGAGTGAGGGTAAGTTATTGGTTTTCAATAATTTGATATATTTGAAATGATTTTTATTGTATTTACAGAATTAGAGGACAATTTTCTTATGATGCAGTTATGCATCATTGCGCTTTAAATTTATCATTTTTACTATGTGTCTAATATCTATCTCTTTTCTTCTAGACCCATTATGACTTCGAGGCTTCCACATCCAGGTACCAGGACCCAATCTTGGACGACTGAGGACTTGGAGAATATTCTGGACCAATGGGAAAATAGTGATGATGGCTCAGATTTAACATCAGTTGAACAGGTTTCAAATTATGATGGCGTTGGTATATCCTTGGTAGCTTGGAGAGTTAATAAGATTGTGAATCGGGTATCCAGCATTGCTGGCAAGAACCTCACATCCGTAGTAAAGTAGAGTTGACAAGTCACAAAAGAAACATTACTGTAGAGGGGCCTTTTATAGTAGCAGAATATTATCATCACATGGGAGGACCTGATGGACCGCGTAATGGTACATTATAAGATTAAACTGCGTAGTAAACATTGACACATAAACCTCTCTTACCCCCTACTTTTTGGTACGATTTTACACCATGATGCACTTCTGCAACACCATGTTTTTTTCAAAAATAAATACTTTTTTTTCAAGTGTGTTTTTTTTAACTATTTTTCCCATCTTCTATATACCTCATACGACCTGTTTTTGATATAAAAATAATAAAATACGTTCTTGCGCCGTAAAGGGTTAAGCATGCAAAGAATCTTTTCAAAAGTTGTTTTTCTTTAATTAAAACAATGTAATGCAGATTCCAGTGACGGATTTATAGATACAGATTTGTCGCCTGTTCAAAGAGAGCCTCTTAAAGGTGACTGATGCCTGATTTCACCTCCAATTAGGGTTGCCAGGTCCAAAAACACAAAAGCCGGACTATGTGCTTCATTTGGCCGGACATTTTACCCTAAAAGCCGGACATGCGACGGGGGGGGGGGGGGTTCAATTAGTGAGCTCATGAGTGAGTACTATCATCATCGGTTGCCTAACGTCCTGATGCGTGCGTGCCTTATTCTGTGGTTATTTTGGCCGGACCGCAATCAAAAAGCCTAACTATGTCCGGCTTTATCCGGACGCCTGGCAACCCTACCTCCAATCCCTAATTTTTAAGTGATGTTTTCATCATCATCATCATTTCATAGGACGTCCACTGCTGAGCATAGGCCTCCCCCAATGATTTCCACAATGGCCGGTTGGTGGCGGCCTGCATACAGCGCCTTCCCGCTACCTTTATGAGGTCGTCGGTCCACCTAGTGTGTGGTGGTTGTGATGTTTTTATAGAAAAACAAAATTCCTGTTATGTGTCTATAGGGGTCACTTCAAAATTAGGGATTGATGGTGAAAACGGGCATGAGTCTATTTCGTCACTTCTTCTCCGAAGTGGTAGGGCAGCTAATTTTGGGACGTTTATCTTGAAAGGGCCTACCTACATGGAATTTGAAATGCTATGCATAAACTAACTACTAATTTCATAAAATTATCACTTCACGGGATTTATTGCAACAATATCTATTTTATTTTAAATATTTTATTTACCGTTAAAATAGATATTGTTGCAATAAATGCCGTGAAGTGATAATTTTATGAAATTAGTAGTTAGTTTATGCAACATAACTAATAGTTTAAAATACTAATTTCATGTTTACATAGTGAGTGTTAATTTGGTATTATTAAATTAATGAAAAGTTTTTTCTTCTGGAAGTCTAATGCCCGTTTTCACCATCAATCTCTAATTTTTAAGTAAATCCTATGGTAACACATAAAAGGAATTTTGTTTTCATAGGTGTTACTTAAAAATTAGGGATTGATGGTGAAAACGGGCATACCTAAATCACAACAACATTTTTAATAATATTATACTTATACAAACTTTTTTATGTTTAAAATGTTAATTATCATTTATTATTATTAACTGATAGTTAAATCTCTCATGTCCGACAGTTAGATAATGTGTAATATCCCCATAATGTATTATTGTAAAGTCGCAGCATCTACAATTTTTTATTTTTCATTAGTTCTAACAAAAAATATCTTAAAATTTTCCATACAAGGAAAAAATATTCAGATTTAATTTCCATAATTTTGTAGGTACTTTAAGTTAACTAGCGGACTTATCAATGTCAAAAAAAGAAAAAACAAAAGAGAACTCACCAAAAATAAATGAAACTCGATGTGTCAGAACGTTAAAAACTAAAAACACTGGCCGGCAGAACTCACAGATAAGTTTTAACTATGGAACTGATAGTGTTCGATTTTTAAATTATGTAACGATGCGTATTGGCGCGCTGGGATTGAATTTGTGCGCGCGGGCAGCCACCGGTCGCACTGTACGCTAATGTACTGGCCAAAAATAAATTTTCGAATACCTACGTAACGGATACGTCACGAGGAGTGGGCTCGCCATGCGAGTGTCGTGATGTCAATGAATATTTTTCAATAACAACATGAATCTAAAATTACATTATAAAGCCTATAGATGAATGAAGAGAAGGTGTATTATTATGCCTAGGATTCGATAGTGGTAAAGAGAAGTCCTGATGTAAACATCAAATCTCCTTATAGAATGGAAGAAGAAGAAACGTCCATTTCCACTTTTCCGGGCAGGTACTTATCGCTAATTTTTTGTTTTGATGTGGGCTGTAAGTAAGGCTGTAACTCAGTGTAGGCTATTTTGAACATAGGCGATGCGATGTTCGACGCCGGGTCAGCTAGAAAATCTTCTAGCTGACAAAGACAGGAGTGTTTATGCAAAACTGCTACCTTTAGGTACACTATTTGAACTTGAACTTAAAAAGGTCATTTCGATTACTTTGTTGGTAAGTTAAGTTACCTAGGCAACTATTGTATTTTGCGTCATTATTAAATATTTACAATACCTACTTACAACTACCTACTCGAAAAATACTAAAGTCCTGACGTAAGTCCTAACATGTCTTACACCTTCTCGCCACTTTAACACTGATTAAATATTAAAAATTTAAAAACCCCGACACAAAAAATTAACTCTAAAAACTAATAATTAAATAATAATTTAAACCTGTAATGTCGCGTCGGGATACCGATTTACATAATCAAATCGGTACAAAGTCAGACCCTTTATACAGATTTTCCAGCGACGATCTGTTCCGCCATTTTGTGGCGGCACGGCCATCTTGGACCGATTTTCATCAAACATAGCTAAGAACACTCCCGACTAACTCACTTTTTACAAAAAAAAAAAAACAAAATCAAAATCGGTTCACCCGTTCGGTACGATGCCACAGACAGACACACAGACACAGATATACAGACACAGACACGTCAAATTTATAACACCCCGTCGTTTTTTCGCAGGGGGTCAAAAACTGTCCTGCTGATATAGGTCATCATCATCATCATCATTTCAGCCATAGGACGTCCACTGCTGAACATAGGCCTCCCCCAATGCTTTCCATGTTGATCGATTAGTAGCGGCCTGCGTCCAGCGCTTCCCTGCTACCTTGTAGGTGGACGTCCCACGCTGCGTTTTCCGTACGTAGCGTTTCTAAAGTAGGTACTTACATGTATTTTAACTAGCTGACTCGGCGAACTTCGTACCTATGTACATCGGAAATAATGTAGGATTCTAATAGAAAAACAATTTTTCAAATCGGTTTAGTCGTTTCAGAGCCTTTTCAATACAAACAAACAAATCTTTCCTCTTTAATATTAGCGCAGAAAGTTTTTCCTTTCTTCATTATTTCTTGGTGTTTTGTTCTTCATCAAATTAACTATTAACTAGTTAATGTTGAGAATCACAAACATTTGTGTTATCACGGTCAGTTTAATGCAAATATGAATCATCCTCGTGCCAGCCACAATATGTGGATATTGTTACAATATTGACTGTGGACACAGCTAATGCATTTACTGATCCTGCGCAAATATCTGATTACAAAAATCGATCGGTGATAAGCCTTAAACGAAGTTAATGGAGTCATAAAGTTGACGCGCTTTTATTGCCCTATTTAGCAATCATAAGTACTTAGGTAGGTACTTATCTTAAATCATACCTATTAATCCTACAGGTAGGTAGGAATGTGTGAGGAAGGCACAGAATAAGTAATAGAGGAAGGATGGATGTTTGACTCTTTCAAGCCGGAACTACAAAACGGATTTTGATGAAACTTTACATTAATATTATGTACCTACTAAATATGCGCTGCCCGCATCCAGGCTCTTCCCGCGACCTTTACCAGATCGTCGGTCCACCTAGTAGGAGGCTTGCCCACGCTACTTAGATAGGCATGTATAGGTACCTAGTACGAGTAGTAGTATGACTAGATTGTTTTGAATTAGGTAATTTGTATACATTGACATGGCAATTAGCAATAAATTATTACGATACGATAAGATAGTTTACATACTACTTAATAATAAAGAGCAGTGGTCTAACTAGATTCTAAGATATACATACTAATGTGTGCCATGTTATTTAGCTTTTATACAACATTATATTCTAGGTACATCTTCAACCAACGGCCTTTGCCATGTAATGTCTATCAACAAACGAACGACTATAATATCATGTTGAAAAAATATTTCTCCAGAGATTTCATTGTTTGCAAACTTCGAATGATATTTCTATCCTTAAATGGAAAGTCAATAAAATTGTTCTGCATAATAATTACATTGCATTTCAAATGGATGAATATTCAATCATTCATATTATTATGTAGGTGTAAGTAGGTACTCAGAATCTGAATTTGATTGGATGTTCAGGAGCGCCTACTAGTAAATTATGAGCAAAATTGCCGAGGTGTGAAATGAAAAGACAGACCATTCATATGACAAAGTGTAAACATTAATGACTGAAGATATTATGTACTTTTATTAGATATTGAAAATAAAAACATTCTATATAATTAATAAATAAAATATTTCCTACTTTCTTTAATAAGAACTTTCCTTTTCATTTTTAGACGAATACAGCTGTCTTATGTCATTGTCAATGTCAAATTTGACATTTCAGATTTACAAAACGCACGTGTTTGTTTCTGTTGTTTAGCGGTTATAAAAAGCTTTTTCTCAGTAAATGCGTGCTAAATAACAAAATGAATTCTAAAAAAGTGCCTAAAAATCCTTCGCTGGCGTATACCAGCAATCCCAACTACAGTAAACCCCCAAAAACGGCCAATCCGGTGAGTGCACATTTACGTGTTATTTTTTTCCACGCAAAACTACATAATTTATCTAAAACATTATGTAATTACTAGGAAATATAGTCACCACCAGTTTAACCTTCATAATTTCCTGTTACAGTTCTTACAATGTCTAGGAGCGCCTCATATAGACTCGTTCAACTTCATGCTTCAAGATGGCCTAAAAGCGGCCATAGCGGACTTATTACCAGTCGAATTCGAAGCCCCGACGGGCGAAAAGATCAAAATAGCTATAGAGGAAGCTGCGTTCTCCAAACCTAGTGTTCCTTTGGAAGCTGTGGGTGTAAGAAATCAGAGTATATTGCCAACGGAGTGCAGACAACGCGCGTCTACCTATAAGGGTGATTTCAAAGTTAGAATCAAAATGACTGTCGATGGACGGTCTACTACTGTGGACAGATCTTTGGGACAACTGCCAATCATGTTAAAGGTGAGGTTTAACAATAATTATTACCTATATCCGCAATCTACACAATATTAGTATCTCATTTGTTATTTCTCTTAATTTGTGGTGTTTTTACAGTCTAAAATGTGCCACTTAGCCGAAATGAGCCCAGAAGAGCTGGTGAAACACAATGAGCATGCAGACGAATGGGGCGGATACTTCATTGTGAAGGTATTTACTTTTTTGATATCTTAGAAGATTTGTGTACATAATAAGATGTAGTTTGTTTTTTTGTTTATTCAGTTACCATTACAGTTCTTTCATGGGACGTCCACCCACAAGGTTGGATGCAGGCGGCTACCAACCGTGTGATGTGGAAATCATTGGGGAGGCCTATGTTCAGCAGTGGATGTCCCATGGCTGAAATGATGATGATCATGAAAAAAGACTTTTTTTAACCTTAGTTCTTTCAAGTTATATTCAAACTTGAAAGAACTAAGGTTAAAAAAAGCCTTTTTTTTTTGTATAAAAGGCTTCTAAAATCATTGAGATAGGTAAGGGTTATTGCCCACTTGTTTCTGTGATCCCAAAATAACTATAATTTTAACACTGCATCATAAAAGTTAGTACAGGACTTAATCATGTATGTAACTTATTTTTTTAAATTAGAAGTAACAAATTTTTTTTCTGTACTCAGGGTCACGAACGTCTTGCCCGTATGCTGTTAGCGACCAGACGGAACTATCCGGTCGCAATCAAGAGACCAACTTGGAAGATGAGGGGCAACCTGTTCTCAGAATACGGAATATTAGTCCGTTGTGTCACTTTTGACCAGACCAGCACTGTAAGTTGATCTTTTATTATCATTTCAGATGTGCACTTAATTGATTTGTATTCTATTGAACAAAAACGTCAGATTCAATGCCATTAGTGCTTAAACTGTGTACTTGTTTTTAAATTTTATTAACCCTCAAAAAATTTTATAGCTTTCTGTAGATAAGTTAGAAAATCATAAAATAGACTCTCTTATTTATAAAAACTTACTATACATGATTTATTATTAAAGTACAATTATCTAAAATAAAACTATTGTGGACAATGGTATTTTCTGGTTGATTGTAAGTAATTTAAGGGCTATCATAAAATCCCAACACACAATCTTTGTCACCTTCAACAGAACAACGTCTTACACTTCATTCAAAACGGTACATGCAAGCTGATGTTCTCCCACCACAAAGTGATGTACTATGCTCCGCTGGTGCTGATACTCAAGTGTTTGGTGGACTGGCCCGACCATTACATATACAGGCTGCTACTGCATGGGAAGAAGAACGACCTGTACTACACAAAGTAAGTTTCACACAATGATATTAAATAGATGAAACTGCACTAGAAAGTCAGCCAAAAAGTGTTCCAAAAGTAGCTATCAAGCAAGTTATAAAAGTGTGAACTTAATACTTACTTTTAGGGACAGTTTTTGACGTTCTTTGAATATCGAAAATACCCTAGCAAGAGGGAAAGAGATAACTGAATCGTCGATGACTCGCGCGTGACTGCGAGAAAAAAAGACTGAGCAATTTTGGGCGGTTGAAATTTTTCTCCAAGGAACCAAAATCAGCGTCAAATGTTCGTGGCACCCAAAATAGTCAATAAGGTCGCAAAGGTTTCTGTTATCAGCTTTTTGGTCACATTGGGTTTCTCGAACTATTTGACGCTGAATGGACCCAGTTTCATATTTCACACTTCATTGATGATTTTCGTCCAAGTGTTAAGGTTTTTTTCCACTTATATCAATGGTAATATCTTTCCAGCTGCATACAAAACATGCTTCGCGAGCTGCACGAGGAAGGCTTGCATTCTTCGGAGGACTGCCGCCTCTACCTCGGCCGGATGTTCAGGCAGAGGCTGTACGAACTTTCGGACAGTGCTACAGGTAAGTGTTTATATTTATTCACTTACTAACTAAATACTGAAGAGAAAAATTCTAGATTTATGCAGCAATTTGTTGTTAATCTCTTGATATTGGTCAATGTTGTATTCACACATGTTAATCATTTGACTGGTCAAACTTATGTACCTACTTATTCTTGTGAATGATTTTACGAACCAACTTTACCAAAACTTTTTAAAAGAACATACATAATACATTAATTTATACCTAAATAATGTATTTTGAAGATAAAAAGTAGTCTAATTTTTTTTTTCTAGATCCGATTCTATCTCTTTTCCAAATTCATCAAAATGGTTCAGATAGAATATTTTGTTCAGAGAAGTTCCAAAATACACGCTTGAAAGTACTGTTCTTATAAAAGTCAATAACCAAGTTGTTTTCGTTATTTCTCCTTACAGATGAGGAGGCAGCCGACTTCCTCATCAGCCGCTGCATCCTCATCCACCTACCAGGTCCCAAGGACAAGTTCCACGCACTGGTCTTCATGCTACAGAAGCTGTTTGACCTCGTCCAGAACAAATGCAAGGTTAGTTTGCTATTAATTACTGTTGTTACTTTATCTACTTATTTTATCTTCGCTTTATCCTTCTGTAGAGCCTAGTTACACCATTAACTTTTGCTCATCAGTAATTACAATTACATAAAAAAAACATGTAAAATGTAGCCATGACGAGACCCTAATGACTCGCAATCACAGTACGAAAAAGTTGTCAGATTTCATATAGAGCCAATCTGCTAATTCTACATATCCTAACTAAACAAACTCGATACCTAATTCAAAATCTTATCTTACTAATATTATAAATGCGAAAGTTTGAATGTCTTGATGTCTGGATGGATGTTTGTTACTCTTTCACGCAAAAACTACTGAACGGATTTTGATGAAACTTTAAGTATAATTCTTTATAATCCAGAATAACATGTAGGCTATAATTTATGACGATCTGTGACAAACTAAATTTCACGCGGGTGAAGCCGCGGGCAAAAGCTAGTATGCAAAATATGTGGCACCGTCGTTTCGCTATGATCACAGTGTAGTGAAAAAAATATTCACTGTTCATTACTTTTCTTCTTTCTTCTTATACAATAGTTCTTGTAGATGCCAGATAAATATACCTACATAACAGTCCCAAGAGTATTATAGACCAGGGTTTCCCATTTTTTTTTTGCCAAGGAATCCTAATTGATTATACTTTTCCTAGCGGAACCCCCGTACTACTCCGCCCGCACGCCCTGCCCCTCCCTTGTGCGTAAACAAGTCGGTGCGCGCGAACAACGGCGGTCACGAAACGTGGGATAATATTTTTTACGGAACCCTTTCCACGGAACCCCAGGGTTCCGCGGACCACCATTCGGGAACCGCTGTTATAGACAACGCAAAGTGATTTTACTCTATGTGCGTTCTACACTAGAATTGACCCCAGAACGTCCGAGTCTAGTAAACTTCAAAGCTTTTTTATGTATCCAGGTGGAAGGCGCCGACGCAGTGATGGTCCAAGAGCTGCTCCTCGGAGGACACCTGTACCTCCAAGTTTTAAAAGAACGAATGCAGAGCCTACTGTCTATTATGCGGATGCAGATCAATAAGAAGGCCAAAATGTCAGGGAAACTGAAGCTGAATGTGGTATGTGTCAATGGATTTTGAGCTTTTTGATTGTATAGTAAGGTTGGAAATCCACTGACGAAAACAGATAGTGATGGTCCAAGAACTGCTCCTTGGTGACCACCCGTGTATTATGTCAACCAATTTTGAGCTTTATGTCTATGGAGTAAGGTCCAGAATCCACTGCTCCTCTGAGGCTTCCTGTACCTCCAAGTTCTAAAAGAACGCATGCAGAGCCTACTGTCTATTATGCGGATGCAGATCAACAAGAAAGCCAAGATGTCCGGGAAACTGAAGCTGAATGTAGTATGTGTCAAAGGGTTTTGAGCTTTTTGATTGTATAGTAAGGTTGGAAATCCACTGACAAAAGCAGATGCAGTGATGGTCCAAGAACTGCTCTTTGGAGGCCACCCGCGGTATGTGTCAAAGAGTTTTGTGCTTTCTGACTGTGGATTAAGGTCCGAAATCCAGTGAAGAAAGCAGATGTAGTGATGGTCCAATAACTGCTCCTTGTGAAGGCCACCCGCTGTCAAATTGTTTTAAGCTTTATGTCTGTGGATTAAGGTCTGAAATCCATTAACGAAAGTAGATTTCACGGTATGTCCCAAAACGTGATACAAATCGGGAAGTTCGTAATACATTTTGAGCTAAATCTCAAAAAATCTTTAAATGACATTTTTTTATCAATTAATGCTGTTTGTTTCCTTATTAAAGAAAAAAAAATAAAAATGACTGTTAGCTTTGGATAGTAGGGATTTTTTGCGATTTACTCATTGATTCTTGAGAATGTTGTTAGTTTTAGAGTAGGCGCACACCGTTGATTTTTCGTCGGCCGATAGTTAGTCGGGCAGTTTATCAGTATGGGCATGTATGGGAGTGCGCACACTACGCCGATTCGATTTGGCCGATTCTTCATACAATTTAAAATCGGACACAACTATCGGCCAACTAAAAATCAACGGTGTGCGCCTACTCTTAAGGTATAAATTAAAAACAACGTTATAATAAACAACTAATTAGCAATTTGTTCCTTACAGAACGACATCGGTGCGCTCATAAAATCGTCAGGCAACTTGGAACAGAAGATGGAAACCTTCTTAGCGACCGGCAATGCGCCTTCCAACAACGTCAACCTGACCCAGTATAAAGGACTCACCATCGTCGCTGAGAACATTAATCGTATGCGATACATGTCACATTTCAAGTGAGTATTTGTTCGTTTCATGCCCGTTTTCACCATCAATCCCTAATTTTTAAGTGACCCTTATGGTAAGAAATAACAGGATTTTTGTTTACATAGGGTTCACTTAAAAATTAGGGATTGATGGTGATAACGGCCATCAGCCAAATAACGTCCGCTGCTGGACAAAGGGCTCCCCCAACATTTTGAGCTTTATGTCCGTTTTCTCGATCAATCTCTAATTTTTAAGTGACCCATAATGAAAATAAAATTCCTGTTATGTGTTACCATAATGCAGTCTCCACTGCAGGAGTACAACTCTAATTTATCAAATGAGTTTCAAAACCATCATCATTTCAGCCACAGGACGTCCACTGCTGAACATATGCCTCCTACAATGATTTCCATAATGATCGGTTGGTAGCGGCCTGCATCCAGCGCCTTCTTGCTACCTTTATGAGGTCGTTGGTCCATTTTGTAGGGTGACTTCCTACGCAGCGCAAATGAATTTGCTATTCTTAAATTACTAGTTTTGTGATATAGTGGAGTTTCAGAAATGAGGAGATCCACAGGAGAGCCAAAGTAACCAAAATAGCTTGCAGAATTGCCAAACTTTCATTATTTTTAGTATGCAAGACTTTCATTAAGCACATGTATGCAAGTAGCGCAGGATCGGTTTTTATGGAAATACTTGGGGAAGACTTCCTAGCACTTTCTAGGCTTTTCAGCAGTGGACGTCATATGGCTGCAATTTATAGTGGTGGTCCTACTAAACTAACTAGGCTATGGTGCATAATGTTTTCCTCTATCTGTGCTGGAGTCTGGTCCGGGAGCACGTAGAATTTTGTCCAATGACCCCAAGCTACCCATCCTTATCGCTCGCGCGTAATTATATTGCTGTCGCGACTGTGCGACGGGCGCCCGCAGTGAGTGTGCGAGCGCGACAGCAACATACTTACGCGCGAGCGATAAGGATGGGTAGCTTGGGGTCATTGGACAAAATTCTACGTGCTCACAGACCGGGCTTTAGTAGTAAAACGTCGGTGAATCTTTGAGCGTTTTTTCAAATTGAAATTATCTCAAAGATGGACTTTGAGATAATTTTTTTTTAGATATTTGGCATCGTATGTGGTTGTATTAAGTGCTATTTTGCAATGTTTTTTTTGCTGCAATAAAGCAGTATTCCTTTGTCCCCAGAGCGATCCATCGAGGTTCCTTCTTCATGGAGATGCGGACGACGGACGCGCGCCAGCTGCTGCCCGACGCGTGGGGCTTCGTGTGTCCCGTGCACACGCCCGACGGCGCGCCCTGCGGCCTGCTCAACCACCTCACCATGCAGGCGCAGGTACTGGCCTGAGGCCCGCGGCAGGGAGGCCTGTGAGGCCCGACACTGAGGCCTGTGACACTAGGAGGCCTGGGACACTAGGAGGCCTGTGACACTGAGGAGGCCTGTGACACTAGGGAGGCCTGTGACACTAAGGCCTGTGACACTAAGGCGGCCTGTGAGGCCAGAGCGATGCACCGCGGCTCGTTCTTCATGGAGATGCGGACGACGGACGCGCGCCAGCTGCTGCCCGACGCGTGGGGCTTCGTGTGTCCCGTGCACACGCCCGACGGCGCGCCCTGCGGCCTGCTCAACCACCTCACCATGCAGGCGCAGGTACTGGCCTGAGGCCCGCGGCAGGGAGGCCTGTGAGGCCCGACACTGAGGCCTGTGACACTAGGAGGCCTGTGACACTAAGGAGGCCTGTGACACTAAGGCGGCCTGTGACACTAAGGCGGCCTGTGACACTAAGGCGGCCTGTGACACTAAGGCGGCCTGTGACACTAAGGAGGCCTGTGACACTAGGAGGCCTGTGACACTAGGGAGGCCTGTGACACTAAGGAGGCCTGTGACACTAAGGAGGCCTGTGACACTAAGGCGGCCTGTGACACTAAGGCGGCCTGTGTGATATAGACACTAAGGCGGCCTGTGTGACATAGACACTAAGGAGGCCTGTGACACTAAGGCCTGTGACACTAAGGAGGCCTGTGACACTAAGGCGGCCTGCGACACTAAGGAGGCCTGTGACACTAAGGAGGCCTGTGACACTAAGGCGGCCTGTGACACTAAGGAGGCCTGTGACACTAAGGCGGCCTGTGACACTAAGGAGGCCTGTGACACTAAGGAGGCCTGTGACACTAAGGAGGCCTGTGACACTAAGGAGGCCTGTGACACTAAGGAGGCCTGTGACACTAAGGAGGCCTGTGACACTAAGGAGGCCTGTGACACTAAGGAGGCCTGTGACACTAAGGAGGCCTGTGACACTAAGGAGGCCTGTGACACTAAGGAGGCCTGTGACACTAAGGAGGCCTGTGACACTAAGGAGGCCTGTGACACTAAGGAGGCCTGTGACACTAAGGAGGCCTGTGACACTAAGGAGGCCTGTGACACTAAGGAGGCCTGTGACACTAAGGAGGCCTGTGACACTAAGGAGGCCTGTGACACTAAGGAGGCCTGTGACACTAAGGAGGCCTGTGACACTAAGGAGGCCTGTGACACTAAGGAGGCCTGTGACACTAAGGAGGCCTGTGACACTAAGGAGGCCTGTGACACTAAGGAGGCCTGTGACACTAAGGCGGCCTGTGACACTAAGGAGGCCTGTGACACTAAGGAGGCCTGTGACACTAAGGAGGCCTGTGACACTAAGGAGGCCTGTGACACTAAGGCGGCCTGTGACACTAAGGAGGCCTGTGACACTAAGGAGGCCTGTGACACTAAGGCCTGTGACACTAAGGCCTGTGACACTAAGGAGGCCTGTGACACTAAGGACGCCTGTGACACTAAGGAGGCCTGTGACACTAAGGAGGCCTGTGACACTAAGGAGGCCTGTGACACTAGGAGGTCTGTGAGGCCCGACACTAGGAGGCCTGTGAGACCCCGGTTCTAAGGAGGCATGTGAGGCTCCAGTGGGATTTAGGCCTGTGAGGCTCCGGTAGGATGTAGGCCTGTGAGACCTCGATGCTAAGGAGGCCTGTGAGGCCCCGGTAGGATGGAGGCCTGTGAGACCCCGATGCTAAGGAGGCCTGTGAGACCCCGGTAGTAGAGAGGTCTGTGAGGCCTAGGCAGTAGGGAAGCGTTTGAAGCCCAGGCGCTAAGTAGGCCTGTGAGATCCAGGCAGTAAAGAAGCCTGTGAGGCCCAGGGAGTAAAGAGGTATTTGAGGCTGTGGTAGGAAGTAGGCCTGTGACTAATTAGGCCTGTGAGGCCAGATACTAAGTACGCCTGAGACCCAGATAATGAGGTCTGGGAGGCTACAATCTTAGCAAAATCTAGTATCTCATCCACGTCATCAAAACTACATTTCCCAGCTTATTTTTTTTTGTTTAGGTAACCCCGGCTCCAGATGCAGCTCAAGTGGCAGCACTGCCGTATGTCCTCGAAAAATGTGGTAAGTTTTCATAACAAAGTAATGTGTACGCAATAGAAAATAAATGTTTCTATAGTCTGGTCTGCGAGCACGTAGAATTTTGTCCAATGACCCCAAGCTACCCATCCTTATCGCTCGCGCGTAATTATGTTGCTGTCGCGCTCGCACACTCACTGCGGGCGCCCGTCGCACAGTCGCGATAACAATATAATTACGCGCGAGCGATAAGGATGGGTAGCTTGGGGTCATTGGACAAAATTCTACGTGCTCGCAGACCGGGCTTTATAGCATCTTTAACAATTTCTGCCTTCTTCTATCTACCTTCTTTCTTCCCAGGCATGGAGCCCATAAGCTCGATAGCCCAGACGCCCCTATCGCACGACGTGTACAAATACCCGGTGTTCCTGGACGGCCGCCTGCTAGGTTACCTGAGCGAGGATACCGTGGATAAGTCCGCCGCGTACCTCAGAACGTTAAAAGTGAAGGGAGAGGAAGTGCCTATGACCACTGAGATCGTTGTTATACCGAAGAAGCAGGTTAGTTTCTCACTGATTTCATTTCAGATGTGTGTTGATAGTTTGTCTAATTTCTTGCTCAGATAAAGTTAGCTACTACCAATAATATCCTAGTTGACACCGTTTATAGTCGATTGACGTAATTTTACGAGTTATTATCAAAACGTGATTTTATCAATCTGATTGACTAACTTTTTATCAATTTTAAAATCTTATTATTCAATCAAATTGAGAATTTAGTGGATTTTCTGGGCTAGGATTTTGTGTTCTTTTTTAGAAAACTTGCGTATTTGTTAAGTCCAATTAAATTACATTTTTATCATTTTAATCATTGGAAATATTGTCCAGTAGGCCTAAGATGCGCGCCGTGATAGGCGGTTATCACGCCATTTTATCGATTTTGCTCATACAAATTGACGTCGATAAAAGTTATCACGGCGCGCATCTTAGGCCTACTGGGCTTCAGGCCTTCTCTCTTTGGCCAGCATGGGAAGTGTATGCAAAACCCTTAATTTAATGTAGAGATGGTATATTCTTGAGTGGCAGTGAATGATCTGATGATGATGTATTCTTTTCAGATCTGCGCTCAATACGCGGGCGTGTTCCTATTCACGACAGAGGCACGTCTGATGCGGCCGGTCATCAACCTGGCCACCGGACAGCTGGAGCTGATAGGGACCATGGAGCAGCTGTACCTGGATGTAGCTGTGACGCAGACTGAGATATACAAAGGTACAGTTTAGCAGGCTGTGATGTACAAGGGTACAGTTGAGCAAGCTGTAATACTTAAACATAGGTACAGTTGAGACGGATGATATGTACAAAGGTACATTTGAGCAGGCTGAGATATACAAAGGTACAGTTTAGCGGGCTGTGATATATAAGGGTGCAATTGAGCAAGCTGTAATACCTAAAAATAGGTACAGTTGATATACAAAAGTACAGTTGTTCAGGTTGAGATATACTATACAAAGGTACATTTGAGCAGACAGTTGTTCAGGTTAAGATATACATAGGTAAAGTTGAGCAGGATGAGATGTACAAAGGTATATTCACACTGCTGCATTAAATAAAGCTACTGCAATACATTAATATTATTCTCTTACTCCCACCCGGAAAAAGTCCTCTGTCCGACAAACCTGTTTGTCATTGTTATGAAATTTTCATTTTTCTTTCGTTAAAATGTTTTATATTGTTTCGATAGGCAAAACCACACACTTGGAGCTTTCAAAGTCGGCGTTCATGAGCAACTTGGCCCAACTGGTCCCCATGCCAGACTGCAACCAATCACCACGGTAAGTTCCAATTTTTGGAAGAATCGCGTCTTACTGATAAGACCTCACAGTACAGATCACAGTTAAAGAGATATCTTGCGATGCATTACCATCAACAAAAGTGGCGTCTATTAAGTGCGCTGTCTTTGCAAAAACTGTTCAGGAAATATTTGTAAGAACAAAAATTTTCACAAGCATTTTGTATCAAGTTGTAAGAGAAGCATTTTGACACATTTCTTTGAACAATATGACACTTAAAATATACACTACTTTTAAGCAGAAAATATTGTTGTAATTAAAAAAAAACTACTCTTATTTTTCTTACTTGCTTTTATCTCCTGTGTTTGTCTGACTATAATTGTAAATCTTTGCTAATTTTGCAATAAACGATATATCTATCTTCATTTGTCCACAGTAACATGTACCAGTGTCAGATGGGTAAACAAACCATGGGCACTCCCATACATACTTGGCAGACCAACGCCGAGACAAAACTATACAGACTGCAGACCCCGGCTTCACCTCTGTTCCGGCCTACGCACTACGATAATATTGGATTAGATGACTATCCTATGGGCACCAACGCGATTGTAGCCGTCATTTCATACACGGTAAGGTTTAAATTACTTAATTACTTTTAGATCATGTGTTTCGATATACCTAAGTAATATGCAAATTATGTCTTGTTTGGCTCAATAATCCAGTGTGATCCCGACTGTCGTTTGTTTCACTTGCCTCCTAAGTAGCGTCTTTTTGGGCTAAAACTAAACTAGGACGTAATTTCAATTCCAAGATACAAGTGTTTTAAATAAATAACTTAATTTAGACCTATAAACCGAGTTAGTTTTCAAATAGCTAGGAATTTTGACTTTGAAATCACTAAATTGTCAGTCATTTGATTTCGTGAGAACGTCATAGCCTATGTGTGTTCACTATATTATTGCTAAAAATAAATAACATATCTTTCATTTTATTCCCAGGGTTACGATATGGAAGACGCGATGATCATAAACAAGTCAGCTTACGAGCGCGGCTTCGGAGCCGGATCCATCTACAAGTCAGACTTCATCGAGCTCAAGACCCCGGGCTCGTACTTCCAGCGAGACCCGAGCAAGCCCGAGCTCAGTCCGTATATTGACGAAGATGGATTACCCGCGGTCGGAGCTAGGGTTCGGACTGACGATCCTTTCTACTGGTAAGTGAGCTATAAGTCTGATTCCTTTAAACCAGTGGTTCTTAACCTTTAGTCACGAGGGACCGTTTTACCAAATTTCTGTCTTGTCACGGACCACTTATTTTTTTTTTTCAAAATCCTATGAAAGGGGAGGTCGATTTCTCGCCCACTGCACTGCGCCGTTAGCATTGTGATAACTCGACTCATCACATCACGTCACTTGTTTATTACGATGTCTTCGTGGACCACCAGTGGTCCGCGGACCACCGGTTAAGAACCACTGCTTTAAACTTAGGTTTAGCTCGGTCTTTTATGAGACCCAAGCAAGCTGAAGCTCAGTCCGTGTATAGATGAATAAGGATTACCAGCGGTCGGAGCTAGGGCCAGAACTGACGACTCCTTTTACTGGTAAGTGAGCTATGTCGAGCTCAAGTCGTCTGACTCGTCTTCCTACTCTAGAACCTAGAGAACGGACTAACGATCCTCTTTACTGGTAAGTGAGCTATAAGATTGTGAAATCTAGCTCAAGGCTCGAGCTCGTTCCTGCATCGCAATCCGAGCTAACCCGAAATTAGTCCGCATATAGACAAAAACGGCCTGCTAGTTGGGCAAATACAGGCTTAGTAGCTCCTTTTATGAGTTTCATTTGGACGTTTCTTGTTACTTTGTGAGTCCAGCTATGCAATTTTAGATTTCCTAGTAAATCGCATCAATAAATCAAAGATGATAACAATTTTTTGACATGCACCGAGGTAAACTATTCGCAACTATTGAGTTTGAGAATATATTCCCAATCCTTTCCAGCTTCTTCGATGCTGAGAAGAACCAGTACAGTGTGCACAAGTACTCGGGCAAAGAAGAAGTGTTTGTGGACAGCGTGCGACTGTGCGGTACCTTTGCCACGCGGTCCGTGCTCGCTAAGGCTTGCATTATGCTTAGGATACAGGTATGTATTTTTTTTAAAGATTATTAGCAATTTGTATTGCCCAAATTACTAATAGTCCCGTTAGCCTCTCGTGGTAAGCTAAATAAGCTTGTGTTACGAGTGGGCTCACCACAATAGTCGAGCGGCGGTGGGATTCAAACCCGCGTTCCTCGGATCTCGAGTCGGCCACTCCGACCCCTTCACCGTTCAGCTATCGTGGCTATAAATTATAGTTATAGCCTGACCAGGAACATAAAAACCCTGGCATAGAGGCGCGTCAATTGCATTTGATAGTGCAACACTGAGTACAGTCGTACCTGTGTTAAATTAATAGGCTAACTTTATGTATCAGGATTCAGGATTACGGGCTAATTTGATATTTTTTATTTTCATAAATTAACGAAAAAATATTATTATAGGTAACCTGGTTTAAATAAACTAAATGAAACCATCAATCGAGCTGGTAGGATTTATTTTATATTCATCAATAATCAAATTCAGAACTTGAATATTCAACTGCAATGTCTGCTCATGAACGCTTCAAACTCGGTACTTCTTTCCCAATTCCATAAAATTCAACACGAAAGTGACAAAAAATTTTAAAATAGGTACTTGAAACAAACCACAGCAAATTTTCATAGTGGACTGTACTATACGATAAACATGTCAGTCAATTTGACAACCTTTGTCGGAAACATTTGAACATTATTCNCTGTGACACTAGGGAGGCCTGTGACACTAAGGCCTGTGACACTAGGGAGGCCTGTGACACTAAGGCCTGTGACACTAAGGAGGCCTGTGACACTAAGGAGGCCTGTGACACTAAGGCCTGGGACACTAAGGAGGCCTGTGACACTAAGGCGGCCTGTGACACTAAGGAGGCCTGTGACACTAAGGCCTGTGACACTAAGGCGGCCTGTGAGGNTGTAAGGTGACATGTCAATTAAGTTTTCAGTTATTGTTGCCATTAAAAGAAATTAGTACCATTAGTTTTCCGCAACATGGCGAGGATTTTTATGTTCCTGGTCGGGCTATACTATTAATATTAAACCTTAATAATTTTTTTTCATTTCTCATTTCATTTCATTTTCTTCCTTTTGTTCCAAAAATCTTAATCTTGATATCAACATCAACTTAAAGTCAAGTGGAGAAAGAATTGATGCATTTATTAACAGTCTGCTATGTTACCATTCTCTAAAATTTATCCTTCCTTGTCTCTCTTACAGCGTAACCCAACAGTGGGCGATAAGTTCGCCTCTCGAGCTGGCCAAAAAGGCATCTGTTCCCAGCGCTGGGCGGCCGAAGATCTGCCCTTCACGGAGTCCGGTCTTATCCCGGACATTATGTTCAACCCGCACGGCTTTCCTTCTCGGATGACCATCGCCATGATGATCGAGTGCATGGCGGGGAAGGCTGCCAGCATGCATGGACATGTGAGTTAAAGTTATTTGTTTTTAGGGTCCATATTTCTCGGAGAACCATCTCGAAGAATCTAGCATTTGAGTCTTAAAAATACTTATTCCTAGGGCTCTGTACCTGGGGATACATTTCTGATGAAAGAACACATTTGAGTCTTTTAAATCACTTGTTTCTGGTGTTCTCAAACTCAATCTCAAACATTTTATTTGCCATTAAGTAGGATACAGGTACAGATAGAATACAGGAAAAGCTCATTATCCTACTCAACACATTATACTACTCTTCTGTACCCAAGGGTACAAAACTTACCCTTATTTCTACCACTCTGTACCCCAGACACATGTCCAACTCACTGTGTCTAGGGTACATACCTATTTGAAACGGACATCTGAGTTTTCAAAGTCGATTATTTCTTGAGTACGCAATTGTCACTTGTTTCTAGGCCTTCGTACCCAAGGGGTACATAAGTACACAGCTCACTTGTCCCTTGAGATCTATATCTAAGAGCTACATATTTGTCACTTATTTCCCAGGTTCCGTACTCAGAAATACACATCTTTGGTTTCTAGGGCTCTGACTCTGTACTCCTGTTTACAGTCAGTGTCAAATACTCGTAGTTTACACTTAAAGTAGCCAAAAAATTCGCAACACGTCATAATTACAATTGGAATAAGGTTGTGTTGTCAACTTTTTGGCCACGTTGGGTGTCACGAACTATTTGACGCCGACTGTACATACGGGTCACTTCTTTCTGAAATTTTCGCAGAATGTGTAAAATGAAATAAAGTTTAGTTTTGCAGTTTTCTAATCTTCATCAATCCCATCTCAGGTACACGACGCAACGCCCTTCCGTTTCAACGAGAAAGACACCGCCATCAACTACTTCGGGCGCCTGCTAGAAGCTGGCGGCTACAACTACTACGGCACCGAGCGCGTTTATAGCGGCGTGGACGGACGAGAGATGACGGCGGATATCTTCTGCGGCGTCATACACTACCAGCGGCTGCGGCATATGGTGTCCGACAAGTGGCAGGTGAGCGCAATATCCGGCTCGAAGGACCATACCAACATCTGGCTCGAAGGACCATAGTGTGTGGTGATCCGGCTCGAAGGACCATGGCGTGGACGGACGCGAGATGACGGCGGATATCTTCTGCGGCGTCATACACTACCAGCGGCTGCGACACATGGTGTCCGACAAGTGGCAGGTGAGACCAGCATCCGGCTCGAAGGACCATAGTGTGTGGTGATCCGGTTTAAAGGACCATAACGTGGACGGACGCGAGATGACGGCGGACGTCTTCTGCGGCGTCATACACTACCAGCGGCTACGACACACGGTGTCCGACAAGTGGCAGGTGAGGCAGGGCGACTATGATCCGGCTCGAAGGACCATAGTGTGTATTAAACTGCCTCGAAGGACCATAATGTGCAACTGTCGCCTAATGTAACTATTGTAGCTTTTCTCTCGAGGATGGCAGCAATGTCGTTTCTTTTATGAGAAAGCGGGTACCAGATAGGTAAAAAGTGATGATCCGGCTCGAAGGACCATTAACTTTCACGGTTAAAATGAAGTGTTTTTTAAATAATTTAAGAAGATTCATTAACAAATTGGCATATCTCGATAACCCTTCGGGAAATAGTGACGATAGCGACAAATTGAAGAAATTGCTTTCCGTTTTGTCCCCAGGTCAGAACAACAGGCGTAGTGGACGCTCTCACCAGACAGCCTGTCAAAGGTCGTCGCCGCGGTGGTGGCGTGAGACTTGGAGAGATGGAGCGCGATGCGTTGTTGTCTCACGGCGCAGCCTTCCTACTCCAAGATCGATTGTTCCATTGCTCGGATAAGAGCGAGGTTAGTCATTCTGTACATAAGCTAAAGTACGGCCAACGAGAAGCGATACAAAAGGTCAATTCGACTTTCGAATTGACAATCTATTCTGTCTCTTCCCATCTTGTGTATTTGTCGTAATGTCTCGTTCTCCCGCCAAAATATGTCAAAGTCAAACCCTTAGGCTGGGTTGCACCATCTTACTTTAACTTTGATAAACGTCAAAAATCTGTCTAATTCCATACAAAAAGCACCGGTTATCGTCGTATATAGTTACCGTTAAAGAAAGCTGGTGCAACCCACCCCTACAGCTATTCTAAATAACAATGACATTGGGTTTGTTTACATTTGGTATCTCGTTGGCCGTACTTTAGAAAAGGAACAAACTTAACCTTCAGCTGTCATGACTATTTAGATCTAGACTTCCTTTTGTAGCCAAGAGTTGGAAAACACTAGCTCTTAAGACAATATAAGATTTCCCCTTTTTTCTCATTTCATTGTAGACCAAACTGTAAATTCTGGCTTTAGAAGTTTTGGAAATTGGGATTAGAGATAATATTATCTCCTCGTCCATAGTAGTATCACGGAATAACTTATCACTCTAAATATTCCCGCTAACTCCTCCCCTCCTGTGGGTTCACACTCGAGTCAGCAGTCATACTGACACTATTTTGAAGAAGTTTGACTATTGTCGCTTTTTACTTTATGTGGGATATAACGTATAAATAAATAAATGTATTTGTTTGTCCCCAGGCGGTGCTATGCACATCGTGCGGAACTCTCCTAGGCCCAGTGGCGGGCGCACAGCGCGATGCTTGCCGACTGTGCGCACGCGGCGCGCTCGTGACTATAGCCATTCCATACATCTTCAAGTACTTCGTTACGCAACTGGCTGCTGTCAATATCAACGTGCGGATAAATACTGGCGCTTTACCCGCCATTAAAGCGGCATAGACAATAAAAAAGTTGATGTGACATTGGCGAAACAGTGTGGTCACAGAGGCGAAATAACAAATTCGCCATCAAGAAAAGAAGATGGAAGCGTTATATGAACTTTTCTCAAGTTTTTTTATTCGGAAGAACGGCTGGCCTGTGGGTCTAGACAAAGTGCAAATTATAATCGCAAACCAGTCGAAAAGTGGTCGAAAAACCCCTTTTTTGTATGGATTTTTGACGGATTCGATTTTCGATTCGTTCAAAAAGTGCGTTTTGTCTAGGGGGGCTGGTTACCCCTATGCGACGTCACTCGCAGCAAAAGCAGGTTATAGACAATACCTTTGACGTTCACAACTTTAGAATACGGTGTTCTATAGCTGGTACCATGAGAATATTTAAGTGCCTTTATTATTTAAATCGCCTTTACATTTGACGAAAATAACGTCTTACTATTTAAATAGATGACATAAATTGAAATTATCAATCTAGTTTTAGTTTTAAAAAGAAAAATCCTTTATTATTTAAGATTTATATCATCTATTAAAATATATCTTGTTTTGCAATCATTGTCAACTGGGTAAAACAATAAAACAAATTATGAAAGATAAAAATCATCTTTATTTCTAAAATATATGCCGTTATTCTGAAACAATATCCAAAGTTGAGGCTGTAATAGTATACTAGCGACCCGCCCCTGCTTCGCATAGATACCTAAAAAAACCGCATTAAAATCTTTTGCGTAGTTTTAAAGATTTAAACATACACAGGGACAGAGAGCGAAGCGACTTTGTTTATACTATTTACAGGCCCCTCTTTACCACTGGGCACTCTGGGCACGTGCCCAGGGCCCCTAGTAGGTTAAAGACGGCCCTGAGTGTAGCTGCATCCTCGTTGATGACAGTTTCAATATTCATTCCTGATGAAGTCTGGGCACACTTCCAGCCAAGTTTCATAAAGCAGAGGCATCAAAGTATTAACATAAGCGATCTAGCGCTGCATGTTTTCAACCGACTTCAAAAAAGGAGGAGGTTCTCAATTCGACCCGTATGTTTTTTTTCTATGTTTGTTACGCGATAACTCCGCCAATTATGAACCGATTTGAACAAATCTTTTTTCGGCGTATAGATAATACCTCAAGGGTGGTCCCATTTAAATTTAATAATAGAAAAAACAACCCCCAAGGGTGGAAAATTGGGGATGAACTTTTTTATACGCAATATTTTTAATTTTTAGATTTTTTTTGTGTTCACGCATTTGAAGTCGGTTTTATTTTTTTTTAAAAAGTTAATTATAATAGTTTGAATATGACAGACTAATGTTTTCGCTGCTGCGAACTTTATTTTAATTCGATAGCTTCTCTATCCTTTTTATAACAGTCTAAACTCTGTGCATTCTTTCAGTATCGACAATTGATTTCTTAAATCTAATCTTCGTCCATGGGCTCTGAGACTTTTTTCTTCTTTTTTTTCTTCTTAGCGCTGGCAGCGGCCTCAGTGAGGGCCTGTGTGGCCTCCTCCATAGCTTCTTTCATGACCTCAATGTTCTTCTTGGGAATATCACCAGTTTCGTAGAACTTGAGGCGGTCTTCGACTTGCTGACGGAGTTTCTCGCCGAAGATTGTTGATAAGCTCTCTGTGAATGAGAATAAAGTTCATTTTAATAAAGTTGGCCCAATACTGAACCGTTATGACATTGGCAGGAGGGCGCTACTGTGAATACTGGATTATTCGTTTCGATTTTTGCCACGTTAGACGATCATAAAACTATGACATTTAGGCCCGATTCGACCAAACTTTTATCCGAGAATAACTCCTGGTATAACTGGCACATTGACAGTTTCAGTATGGGAAATATATGTCAAAACTGACGATTTATTCTGATATTATTATTTACTCTTGTTTGGTCGAATCCACCCTTAGGAGGGCGCTATTATCAATATTGGGTTCACTTGACGTTTCAGAATAATTTTGAGTATACTGGCTAGCTGAAATTAACACATTACATGTGATAGTATTAAAGAGGAAATGTAGCATAGTTTATGAACGCGGTCGATATAAATAACAACCGCGCGCATATCGAGATGCGTTACTTTAGCACGACGTTTATTACCACAAGTCAATGTATAGAACTTGCGATAGATCAAAGTGTGCATAAATACGTATAGTTCCAAAATACTGAACTATCCTATGCATGACACTGACAGTGGGGCGCCACCGTCAATACCGGATCGCTGGTTCCGATTTTTGCCATGTTGGAAACCATATACTTAGTTGAACGATGGGGGTCATTGAGTTTGGTGGGACAGTTCAGCGTGGGTCATCTATACACAGCGTGGGTCATTTGAATTTGGTTAAAATTATAGAAAGCAGTATGTTACTACGACACCAAAGCGTTCTGAAGTATATTAAGAAGAGAACCTCCTTTTTTTACCATACATCGCACAACGAGAGTTGAGGCCGTCAACACAAGCAAAGATTTGTATCTGTATTCGCGCTGTTTGCGTAGTCGGACTTTGTAATGTGTTGTTTGTGTTCTGTATTCAAATATTACGTCATCGTGATTCACACGCGACTGTCAGACTCGCGTTCGCCTCAATTTTCTTTGAGCGATCTATACTTAGGCTAAGAACTCACGGCGCAATTTTCACCCGCGCCCGCGGCGGTTGTGGAATTGCGGTTTTATTTCAAAACTCACGGGAGCGGTTATTTGCGCGGTTATTCTAAGAACTCACGGCACGATTTCACGTGACTAGTAAAATCGTGCCGCGCGCTAAGTCACTGGTACAATATGGTGACAAAACCGCGTCGTGAGTTGTGCATTAATTTTTACATAATTAACTGCATTCTACAGAAGCTGCGGGCCCGCAACCGGCGTGGGCGTGGGTGAAAATCGCGCCTTGAGTTCTTAGCCTAGCTGTGTTGGAGCAATATGAGCTTTATTGACTTACCAGAGAAGCAGTCGTCCTGGATGCTATGGAGCAGTTGTTGGCGAGGTAGCGGCTGATGCGGCCCTTGTTCTTTAAGGTGGAGTGGTACCCAAAGCGCCAAGGTCGCGATGTCAACTTTTTGGCCACTGGATGGGGCCGCACCATATGTGTAGGGTTTGTATAGTCTGCTCGCCGAGCACGTAGAATTTCGTCCAATGATCCCAAGCAACGTAATTACGCGCGAGCGATAAGGATGGGTAGCTTGGGGTCATTGGACGAAATTCTACGTGCTCGGAGACCGGGCTTTAGTGACTTACCAGAGAAACAGTCTATCCTCGATGCTATGGAGCACTTGTTGCCGAGGTAGCGACTGATGCGGCCTTTGTTCTTCAAGGTGGAGTGGTACCCAAAGTGGCCAAAAAGTTCGCAGCATGTCTTTGGTAGGTTGCGATGTCAACTGGGTGTGACCGCACTATAAATATGTGTTGGGTTTGTGATGATTTACCAGAGAAACAGTCGATTCTAGATGCGATGGAGCACTTGTTGGCGAGGTAGCGACTGATGCGGCCCTTGTTCTTCAGGCCGGCGCGCCCGATGAAGGTGGAGTGGTATAACAGGCCGTATTTGGGCGTGTTGGAGCGAGTCTTGAGCGCGCGGAAGAGAGCTTTCTCCGCACCTGGGGATTTATAGAAGATAAATATTTATTCGACTATCAATAAATATACCTACCTAAAAATAAGTGTACCGAAAAATGATACAGAAAAGGAATCCTCAGGCTGATTTTTTATCTTTGGACAAATTCACACAGCTCCAAAGTAAGCAACTAATATTCCGTTTCAGCTTATAATGACAACTTCTCAAAATGACAACCGGGACGTAAAATGTCCACTTCTCAAAATGACAACTTTGCTAAAAGACAACTTCTCATAAATATTGTCTATTTCTCACAATGACAAATTCGCATTTGGTCAACTTCGCATAATGACAACTCTAGAAGAACTAGAACTCTTTAATAATGAAAATAAAATATCAACAAGTAGTTGTTCTTGTGTTATGAGTGCTAGCTTAACGGATATACTACTTGTATGCTTTTTGATCCGAGCAATCCGAACGTCATTATCGTAGTGTGCGTGTGCACTCATGGATAATTTAGCGGAAGAATGCTGCGGCGCGTCTTCGTGGATGGCACTATCTATACTGTGCTATGAACCCGGCTTCCTCACTACAGATCCTGGGTAAGTACCCAGGATCTGTAGTGGACCACCAGTTAAGAACCACTGATTTAGATTGACAGGCTGATGTCACTAAAAGGCAATGTTGATTGATGCCCGCCATCCCCCGTCCCTGTTCATATTTGACAGTTTTGCAGGAGTTTTTTTTAAATTATTCCCCGGGACAAACTTGACCTTCACTGTTTGGATTTTTACTGTATCACCTGATCCTGGCTACACAGAAGTTGCAGCGGTGGGAACGAGAGGTGGGAATAGTCCCGAACCTTTCGACAGTTGCATTCACAGCTGGAAAACCAACTTACCCAGGATCTGCAGGGTGGAAGCCGGGTACTTGGCCAGGCTGGTCAGTGAGCCGGCCTTGGATATCAGCCGGGCGCCCACCTGGTCTCCCACTAGCGTCGTCAGATTCGGAGCCACGCTGTTCATCTTCGAGTGCAGGTACTCGGCAATCTGTTTTCTGGAGGTGAAACGTAATGTTGAGTTATTGATAAAGATAAGAGATTAATACAGAGTTATAAGCAAGGTCTCAGGAAGAGTTTAGAATCAATTTTGTCTTCAAATGCTGTTTAAAAGACTTATGCCCGTTTTCACCATCAATCCTTAATTTTTAAGTGACCCCTATGGTAACACATTAGAGGAATTTTGTTTTCATATGGGTCACTTAAAAATTAGGGATTAATGGGGAAATGGGCATAAGACTGAATTGCACCACCTAATTTTAACCCTAACTATGACGTTAACCGGTGTTTTTTGTTTGGAGTTTGACAGATTTTTGACGTTTGTCAAAGATAAAGTAAGATGGTGCAACCCAGCCTAATTGTTGCTAAAAATATGATAGATAAGGCATTAATCAAGATTTTTTTGTTATACAAAATTATTTCATAAAGGGTTTCCAAAGTATGTGAAGGCAAGTTGCTAGACAATGAAAGAAATTTGCCTCTTTTATTCATTATGTGTTATACATCAATCTAAATAGGCTACTTAGGCTGAGTTAAACCATCGAACTTTAACACATTGCTGCATTGTCAAAAATCTGCGAAACTCAAAAAACAGTTGTTATTGTTATAGTTACGGTTAAAGTAAGTTGGTGCTATCAACCTTAGTATAATAATTAATAAGTACAAATATTCAACAAAAAGTAATACAACACAATCTGATATGCTCTCAACTTAAAAAATAGCCATACGTAAAAACTAACCTGTAATTACTCAACGCAACAACTCTCCCAGCGAACATCTGTATATTGATCAAGTCGACCGGCGAAATGTCCATGCCCATGGACATCTTGGACGCATCAATAATAGCCTGGGCCTTCTCCGAGTCACCGAGGATCTCCGTCAACGGTTCCACCGACTCTTCGCTGAGGGTCTTCCTGTCCTTGATAAATTCCGCACATTTTGTGTACAAGTGGTTCTCTGGGACGATGCTGATCAGCTCTGGGAAGTGATATGAGTACCACTCTCTGGAAAAGTAAGAATTTACTGTTTAGTTTGGGGCAACTTTATGCAGCCGATTTTTAGATAATTAGCGACAGCGCACATTGGGCGACAAAACGCGGCGACAGACGCGGCCACAAAACGCATGCGCGCATCATTTCTGTCGTTGCAACTCCACGACATGTCGCGACGACAAGCTTGCTCCATGTGCGCTTATTCTTTTTAATTGTCTTTATTCGTTATGGAAACCCATCCTTGTTTAAAAGTATTGAGTATTTCAAATAATTAAAATACTTATAGTTTTTGGACAATTAATCTATGGATACTTTAGTTTTTTTTTGTTTTCTGTGAGATACACATGTGGATAGCCGAATAAGTAAATATCACCTATTTATAATCAGTAACGTTAAAACAGCAATAATATGATCATCAATTTGGACTACATTTCTTCAATTTTTGACCACAATCGCTCCTGGTGTTAAGTGAGATGCAGTCTAGGAATGCACATCTGCGCTAAAAGTGCCTATTCACTCTTTGAAATTCAATATTCAATCCATGAAACCTACCTTATCCTCATCGAGAATGTGTTGACGTCTTTATCCAGCTGATCCAACAACGCAATACTCTGTATAATCATGTTGTCCACACGGTGCACGTTGAATTTGACACGAGCTCGTGAGTACGAGTGGCCGAGACCCAGCTGCGCGACGCTGCATGCCTTCTGCGTGAGCCCTTTGATCAGTGCGTGGAAGTGGTGACGGATACCTGGTTAAAGGAAAAACAAGGATGTAGTTGGAGGTCTATGGCCTGCTTTCCACCAAGGCGGAGCAGAGAAGTGTCGGGCGGAGAAGAGATGTGGAAATAATGAAATCTGGTTGGTTATACAAAACTCCACTCCGCCTAAGTGGAAACTGGGCCAGAGTCAAGAGGCACACTAAATTATGAGAATTGCTTCCATAATAGGTTAATGACTTGATGTTACAGTGTGTTAATAAATACAGTTCATTATGGACCCTGTTGGGTGCTCTCTTAGAGAGAGCTAATAAAGATGTTGTGCCCAAGCTTGTTGATAATTTTATTTAGTTTCTATCTCTAACATTCTTTAGTTGCAAAAATAACAAATAAGGGTAAAATAGAGGATTTAACTCATTAAGGGCTGATTTTTCAATCATTTGATAACTTTTAACTGAAGAATAAGTTTGGTACATTGATAGTTTCAGTATGGGAAATATATCAAAATGTTTATTCTTCAGTTAAAAGATATCTGACGAATGAAAAATTGGCCCTAAAGGAACTAAATAATCGGATATAAAATATACCTCTCAGTATCTCTGGGACTGCACCGGTGTGTGAGCATGGTATTTCTAGCGCTTCACTGATCGCCGCCCCCAACTTCGGGTCGAGCACACCCAGTGTGCATTTGCCACGCTTTTTGCGTTTCGGTAAGGCACCTTCGAGGAACAAGTTCAAATCTTCAGGCAATATTCCTGTGGAAGACAATGTTTATTTATAGAGTTTATTTATTTTGTTGTGGTATTTATTTTTATGGATTTAATATTTTTATTATTAACGGTGTGATATTTACATGCTTTAAATTTATTACACAACACATTCACTCAATTACTATGGGATTGGGATAAATTGATATAGAAGCTTAGGCTGATATCAAAAAAAAATGTACTTTATAGTTTAGTAATAACCTATTGGGCACTTACAAATTTTTTAACACTGAATTAATTAGTTATGACCCTTTTGAGATTAATTACACTGATAAAACACCTTGTAGCAGCCTAAGTCCTAGCATAGACTGCTACAATTTATTCCTATCTTTGGTCAAAAAGCATGGCACTAACCTTCAGAAATAGCATTTATATTCTCCAAAGCCAACACGGCAGATTTGAACGGCTGGAACGCTATCAAAGTCACCACCGAGTTGAACCGCTGCAAGTCAGTCACAGACTCTTCTACTTGCGGCAAAAATGCAGCAAGTTCTTCGAACTCCGCCACTCGGAAAAGCGCGAAGCCTGCGCTGTGCTCATAGAGCACGTATAATTTACTCTGGAAACGGAAACTATTTATTAAACACTGCTTCAGATAAATAACAATAGAAAACAGAAATACTACACACCATTTTCACGTATTCACTGCAACATCACTGGTTTTAGTCAACTTTATAGTAAAAACACGTGTGGTTTGTTTGCACAACTCGCTTCGGGAAAATTGACATGAATGAATTTTGAGGTTATTTGTTACGTTCCGTTTTGCATTGTTCAATATTACCACCACGACTGATTATTATATTACTGAACTAAACGCGCAGTATTTTATTTCCAAAAATCTTCAAAATTGATTCGAATTATTCTTATAATTTTATTCTTTTGATAAGTTATATTGTTTTACTTTTGGATAACGAGTTAATTTTATTTAAAAAATATATTACCAAAGGCTGCACAACTTGTTGCCAATATGCTTAGAAAAAGAAATGTTTTCTTTTTTTATCTCAATAAAATCCAATAATTTTAGAAAATTGTGTAAATGAGCAGTATTTTATTATTTATTTATTTAGCTGTCTGTCTAATGAGTAAGTATTGATTTTGAAAATAAATTATTAAGTTTTATTGTTTCTAAACGAAACGGAACAAAATGTTTTGCACAGTCGCAGTCACAGATGAGGGTCGCAGTAACGGAAATTTTGACATTTAATTTTTGAAGTGACTGTGACGCGGTTCCGGTATCGATTTGTTGTTGATATTTATTTGATTATCTTTCAACAATTTTCCGAGTTCCTGCAGTTAAATTAGTCACTCCCTTCGTAATTAGTGCCGACTCTGCCATTCTGTAGCTGACCAATGTCTCCCGTGTAGGTAAAAATCTATAATCATGGCATCAGTGACGATGCAGAGAGATCTTGTAGTGAATCTGAAAAGGGAGACTTTTTCAAATGTGGGGATCCTCAGCAAGCTGCAGCCGATGCCTTCCGACTTATCAAGGCAGGTTTTCAAAGAGAATGCGCTCGAAAAGCCCACACAGAACGTGTTTAACCATTTATCTTATTACTTGGTGTCAATCATAGATCCGCAGGTTTGCGACAAGTTTTCGTGGCCTTTATATGATACGAAGACTGAGAGAACGTATAGGGGGCAGTTGTCTGCGTTTATAAACGATTACAGCTCCAAAGGACTGGTGGCTCCGGTTATGTCGTCGTATCTGGTGAATCCAGGTTGCTACAAGGTCACCATGCTGATTTTCCAGCTGTCCCAGCTTGCGGTACAGCGATTGCTTGTGTCTAAAATGAATAATAAGCAGAAAGATTTGTACAGCACTATGACAAACAGGTATAAGAACAGTTCTGAAGAATTTCTTGAAGTTGTTGAGAAGGAAACACACTACATGAAAAGTAAATTCTCCAATTACTTGCGCAAAAGAGAAGCTATGGAGAAAATGGCTGCTATATTCCGTGAGAGAATCACTTCAATGGAAAAGGTATTATCTGAAACGAAAGCACAGGAATATATCGACAACTTAGTTGATGGTTACATCAGCCAAAGAGATTTTGATGATAATACCAAAAATGAGTTGCTGAAAATTAAAAACGTGAACTTACCAGCTCCTATTTTCAATGACTGGTTATTGTATGTTGATGACCAAATGAAAGAACTGGAGTGCAAGTGGACAGAGAAAGTGTGTCCGTTCCTAAAAATATGTACGGAGACTCGTGATAGTACAGAGGCGTTAATAGCTAGATGTACGGGGGAGGCTGACTGCAGCTCTTTTATGGTAGAGTATAACCACAAAACGGATGAAATCGACACAAAAGAATTGCAGAGTCAAGTGAATAGTCAGCAAAAGTATATTTTAATGAACATTGTGCGAGATGAGAAGCTCTACTTTCCTAATCTGGTTCGAAGCTTTTTAATATCGATATGCTACATACTCAAGGATACGGAAATTGATGATGATATTTTCAAGTTTAACAAATATTTGGAGAGTGGACGCAGAGATTTTACTGAAGTTGTGTCAGCGATGAGGATACTCAATAACCGAGTGTTGAATGCAGAAGCTAGACTAGAGGTAAGATATTTTCTTTGATATTTCACAACTTGATTATTATTGAAGCACAAACCTGTAAAATATTTAAAATCAAAAATATTTTATTAAAACCACTGGTGGCACTTATGAACGCCAAAATATAGTAAATAAAAAATAGGTAGCCCTTATCGGGCACTTTACATGTCTCCTTATCTTTTGAGCCCTTTTATTTACTTTAATTTGGGAAAAATTGACTGTCTGTAAAATAGTGTAGTATTTTTCTATCCTGAAACCCTATACTGTGGATGTTTGTTTTGCTGTTGGTGTACCTTTATCAAGTAAAAAATAAGTATTTATGTTTTGTTTGGCGAAATCTCTCTTTCTTGTTCACAATGAGGATCAGTACTGTTGTAGAAAATTCAATAAAACTAGTATCTACGTTAATCTTTAAGACATAAGAAAGATATATCTTTTTGAATTATCCAAATCGGACCATTACTTACGAAGATATTAAGTAATAAACATAGGCCGTTTTTGCCGCTAAAAGTCAACGTACGCAAGGCCGCGTGACGTCATTATATCCGAATCGAGCGCAGCCGGCGTACTAATGGGATGGAAAATATTTTTTTCCGGCTAAACTATCAGTTTTAGAAAAAAACTTTTAATAACATTTATTCTTCAAAATAAAGTAACCTATCGACCAGTAATTTTTAAAAATAAAAATTGTGAAAAATAAGTATTGCTATGTCCAAAAACCACATTTTCATAGGATTCGATGCAATGCGGAGACGCGGTTGGGGTGAGTGTAACTTAATGATTGTTTGTATTGAACATAATAATACTTAATATGATGCTAATACCCAGTTTCTGGCCTGGGGGGGGGGTTATACATTTTTATATTTTACTTGGAAGAAGATATGACTCTAACAACACTTATGTACACTTTATTTGAATAAATCGTCAAATATACCACCGCGGAGACCCCAAACGCGTCTCTGCGTGCCATTGAATCGTATGAGCGTATTGATTTTTTGCGTTATTTTTCACAATTTCCATTTTTTAAAATTACCTATAGATAGCTTACTTTATTCTGATGAATAAATGTCATTACAAGTTTTTCTCTAAAACTGATAATTTGGCTAGAAAAAAATATTTTCTATCCACGCAGTACGCCGGCAGCGTTCGGATCGGATATAATGACGTCATCGTCCCCGCGCCGGGCGGTCAGTGAACTTTTTTAGTAATTTGGCCATAACTTCGTCAATTTTTGTCGTAGAACAAAAATTTTTGCACTGTGTATTAAGGATTTCTTAGCCCTATAAATCTGCATTCACAGCTAAAAATCGAAATGATCCTCATTACTTTTTTGGTACAGTGATAGATTTACTAACTCACTGTTATTTTTGTATGTGCAGCATTATGCCATATTGTAGGCTCATGGAAAGTAGTTATTTATACAGTAAAATCTTTACATATAATTCCTCTTTTAATTTAATGTATGATAAATTAATATTTTCTCTCTCTCCTTTCAGCCATCGCCGACGCTGTTAGATCAGTCATCAATATCAATCAAGGAGTATGAAATACCACCACTGCCAGACCTCTCCGACCTGAAAGCTACAAGAGAGCATCCAAGCCTTCACTTCAACACCTTCACACCGATCAGTATGTCCAAACACCAGTTCAATTTACGTAGAAAGCATAATTCGTTTAGTTACTCAACAAAATCAAACTACCAAACAAACCAACCCAAATCGATGTTCGCGACGCCATTCCAACCAGGGCCTCGTGACGACTTCCTGAAGAATCTCTCTTGCCGTGTCAGTTCCTATTGCCCTAATGTCAGCCAAAACTTCCACAATCTGTCAGTCATATCACAAGTAAACCCACGTGGCAATGAAACAATAGCTGAATGTTCAGGGTTCACAAAGCAACAAATAATGAGGCTCTTATCCACCAAAAAGTCTAGCAGCTCGAAGAAAATGAAACAAAAGATGGAGAGGCCAAGTTTGAACGTCAAAAAGGGTGGTTTGTTCAATGAATCCAGTACATCGAACGAGAGCAATGGATTATTCCGAAGCTACTCATCCCCAAATCTTTTTGAGAACAGAGAAAAGAGGTCCTTCACTAAATCAGGTAAAAGGAAGCTGTCGATTATGCCTGAAGATTGTCCTTCGCTTCTTGAAGTATCTGGCATTGCAGTGTTAGAGAAAGATGACATGTTTGGCACCCCTGAAGGAATTCCACATTTGGAGAACTCCAGGAAACTAATGGACGCTACCAGTTTACCTGTCATATGCATCACACCAGATATTGAATCAAAAACTAAAGATCCATCTGCAGAAAAGGTGATAGATTTCAATAAAGTTATTGAGGCAGATTTATCTGATATAGAGCCAGTATTAAAAGAGCCTAAGAAGAATTTTGAGACTAAAGTGGAGGAATTAAAGACTGAAACACCTAAGAATACCAGCCAGCTTATAAGGAAAACGAGTTCGTTGGAAAAAATCATCAATAGGTTTAAGAAAGTTCGCGCGAATGTGCTGCCATCTGAGAGCAATGATGAGGCTGGAGAGTTTAAGACTATTGTTGAAGAGAAGGAGAATATGAACTCGGTCAACGTTGATGTATTCACTGTAAACAAGATTCTATTGCCTGATCTCTTAAGTCCAAGTTGCAGTGCTCTGTCCATCAAGTCAACGGACTATTTAGACCAGTTTTGTATGGAATTAGAAGAGAGGGAGAAAAGAAAACCGCGTCAAAGTCTTGGAACAGCGCTGGGCGTTGATAACACTTTCTTAGATCAATTTGATTTGATAGATTAACATCATCATTGAATTACTATTACACACTACTTATTACTATTTTAAGCAATGATAGTTGCTGCAGTTACTACCTATATGTATAATTAGATGTTGCAGCATGCATATTTTTGAACTATTATTATTAACAATAAAATGCATAATTTAATGCACTGTACTGTTTCTAAAAATAATTATGTACCAAGAAATACTAATATTTTTACTACCTAATTCATGTATTCAACTAACTCATGTTAAGTGCCTAATGTATCCAAATATATATTTTTAAACATTTTTCATTATCATCGATAAATTATTTTCATAACTCATATTAACATCATTATGTTATTTCTTGTTGTTAAAGAAAAGTATTTGTATAGTAAATTGTTATTTTTGTGCTGTAAATAATGCTTATTCAATAAAAAATTCAGTTGTGAAATTCAGTTTTATTAATATTTCAAAATTAAAAACAAATTCAGTTAAAATAGTTTATTAAAATATAAAAAATTCAAATGCATTAATAAATTAAAAAATACTTAAATCTATTGAGCTAATACCTGTAAGAAATAAGGAAATAGGTGAATAGAATAGAAAATCTGAAAAAATATGGAAGCAGAAAGTTTTTGTGAGTTGTTTTTCCAACTTATTCATTATTGTCATGTCAATCAATGTCATACTAATGTAAATTAAGAGTCTCTTGATATAATAACTTACTAATTTTATGTAAACAACGGAAGAGCTGGCTACACAATATCAAGAGCTATACAATCAGTCTACGAAATCCCCTTATATCTTAGGATCACTATCTTCCAGCTTGACAATAGTTTCGGAGATCTCCCACAATTTCTTAGCTCTGCCGGGGTCACTGGCTGCTGAAGATACAGTGCTTTCACCACAGTCGGAGAAGTACTTTCCAGTGACTTTCTCCAACTTCTCGTCGACGGCTAACATGACGGTAGTCTGGCAACCCTGTCTGGGGGTCTTGAAAAAACCTTTGACGATGAGTAGCAGGCCCCAACTCAATGGGAAAGGTACGTTCCTCCAAATGCCAGTATCAATCAGACCAGGGTGTAAGCAGTTGGCGGTCACGCCTGTGCCTTCAAGGCGGCGAGCCAACTCCTTTGTGAAGAGAATGTTGGCTTCCTTTGATGCATAGTACAAATATGCTGGGAATTTATCTACTGGGTTAGGGTTTTCCAAGTCGACGGTCGCTAGCCGATACAAAGACGATGCAACTACGACTACTCTTGAAGGCGTGCTTTTCTTCAGTAGATCAATAAGCAAATGGGTCAGAAGGAATGGTCCATAGTGGTTTGTGGCCATGGTCAATTCGATGTCGTCGACAGACTTCTTTTTGCTGAAAGATCCTGCGTATCCAGCGTTGTGGATGAGTACGTCCAGTTTGTCTTCTGTTTTCTTGATGTCCTCCGCGAATTGTCTGATGGATGAAAAGGAGCTGAGGTCCAGCTTCTTCACGATGACTTTGGGGTTCTTCGTGGACTCGATGATGTCATCTGTAAAAGGGATTACGAAAATTAATCGTTTGTTTTGGCTGCTGTCGATATCGATTGTAACTTTAAGGGACATCTTTAACGTCGTTTGAAGCTTCCTGAACTTAGGAGGTCTACATTTTCTTAGGTAGGTATAGTGTTTGGCAAATTTTAATCTATCGGTGCTATTTCCTCTGAATAGGAAAGTTTGTAGAATCCAACTCAATATTAAGAACTTTTCCAGATTAATGCCACCATCAATCCCTAATTTTTAAGTGACCCCTATGGTAACACATACCGTCTACTTTGCTTTCATAGGGGTCACTTAAAAATTAGGGATTGATGGTGAAAACGGGCGTAAATAACCTCATTTTAGCTCCTTCCCTTCCCTGATCACCTACACAAAAAAATTGAGAAATTACCTCTAAGTTTCTCAGCGGCCTCCACACTCCTGCAAGCCATGATGACCTTAGCGCCTCTCTTCGCCAGATCTTTGGCAGTCTCCTTCCCAATCCCGCTGGTGCACCCTGTCACTATCACAGTCTTCCCGTCCATGTTGGTTTTATCCCTGAACATGCCGCAAGTGTATTGTGCGTAGAGGCGAATGGCGAATAGGAACCCGATGAAGCCGAGGATGGCTAGTAGACCGATGATGATGAGGAACGGGAAGATCCAGAGAAGGTAGTGCGCTCCCCACGATTCGGCGACGATCATGTCTGTAAAGATAGAGAAAATACCTTAATAAGATTACTGATTCACAAGTTTAATAATTAGTTTTTTTAAGGCCTTTGCCTGCCACACTTACTTAATCGTAGTAATGACAGTCGCGGATTAAGCAATACGTTTTCTACATACGAGTAGGTGTTATAAAGATAAAAGTTTTGATTGTTTGTGTTGAATAGGCTCCAAAACAACTACCTGGACCGACTTGAAACATTCTTTCACCATTAGAATTCTATATTATCTCTGATGAACACAGGATTATTTAAAGTAACGAGTAAGTAGGTAGTTACGCGTCATAATTACTTAGCTTAGTACCTAATCAAACTTAATGTAGCAGTAACAATTTGGTCCCTGTAACATTAACCAACTAAAACTAACGCCTGGTTTCCGAAATTAAGATTTTGATGAATCGATTTACTTTCATGTGATGATTTACTTAATTTACCACACTTTAAATCATCATTTTGGCGTAATTAAATTAAAACTAAGTAATCTTGTTAATCACGTAAAGCCACTAACATCTATCCACCGCATTATGGAAGTAGCTACCCAGATGTGGTTTTCTTTTAGAAACCCACTGATCTTATCTACCATAACGCGAAACTAATTAGAAATTGTCATCAGATTATAATAATGATCCGTCCACTTACCGAGCATGTTTAGGTAACCTTATCCAAAAACATAAATAGGGTAAACCAGAGAGTGATTGCCCACTGGTAGTGATTGCCCGCTTTAAGAATAATATTGTCAGGTGCTGACTTTGAATCACTCTAGTTAGATTTCAATTTACTAAGTAGATGGCTCCGAGATCAATGTACAGTAGATTTAAAATTTACAATAGGAAACACTAAAAAAAAAACAGTTATGGCGGATTTTGTCAAGACGGGTGAAAATGTTACTCAAATAGGTAAAGACTTTAACAATTTTACTAAGGAATTACTTTCTTAGAGGTTAAATTTTTTTGCAAGTTATTTAATATTCAACTAATGGTGTATAGTCATGATGAAATTATAAGTGTTTTCTCCATTATCAATGAAAATAACTGATAAAATTTGGTTTCTAACGGTCATTTTAACGGTGGGTAATCACTGCACGTAAATCTGTATATTTTTAGTTATTGCCCACCGTCATTTTTAGTTATTGCCATATGTTAATGTATAGTTATTGCCCAGGGCAATTATTATTAGAGTGTTGCCACCATGCAGTAGCAGTGTTTAAGTTGCTCATTGCTAGACTTGTTTTGCAATTTACAGGCATAAATATTGAAATGGCTTTTAATGTTTCATTTTCAGTATGCCAAAGACTCCAAAAGTTCAATATAGCATAGAAAATTTGCAAAAAGCGATCGAAGCTGTACAAGATGTATCCAACAATTTATCTACAAGATAAATTGCTGAAAAATATGGTTTGGCTTGAAAAAATTGATAAAAATTCAAACGCAAATACAAAAAATGAAAATCCTACGTTAAATCTACTAGTGAAAATGTTAATTGTAAGGAAATAGATACAACTTTAGGGAAGAATAACCAACAGCTAATTGAACATTCTGAGCAACCACTTGAACTGATATCAAAGAAGATAAAAAAATAAATACATATAAAATTCAAATTTTTGCGTCATCTATGTTTTGAAGTAGATGATTCTGTCTCTACCGATTCTGACTCATCAACATCAGCTCAAGAAATATTTGATAATAAGGCCAAACGCAATTTATTTTGAAATTTTGAAGACTGTACTACTAGAATTTAAGTTTAATGTTTTGTTTTATTTATTTAAAGCCTATTTTGTCATTTTAAAATTGATTATTTTGTTTTAAGATACTGGGCAATTACTGTGCTTTGATGTGGGCAATTAGTGTAAGTAATGGGCAATGACTGTACTTTTTGGAGGATTTTAAATTTATTTCAATATTTTCTAAGTTACGTAAGTTTTAACTAAAAACTGTTAATATTCTGTTTAACAGTTGATTGAGTTATAAGAAAAAAGTCATAAATGGTCGATAATTAAAATACTTTCTTTAATTTTTCATCTCAATGAGTTTGAAATCTTTAAGTGGGCAATAGCTATACGGTTTACCCTACTTAACTTGTAAAATATTAGGGAATGTATTGAATTGCGTACGTAGGTTAAGTATTTGGTATACAAGATAAATCATCATCAATATAACTACATTATGACCATTTGACATTGGTGGGTAGTTGCAGAATTCTATTTACCCACGGGGTGCGGAGAAATTGCGTAGCGTGAGAGGTAAATATTTTTTTAAGATTGGCAATCCACACCTTGCTTTTCAGTCTTGACTGACGATTAATTTGCAATTTTTTTAAATGAAAAAGAAAAAAAAACAACCGAATTGAGAACCTCCTTTTTGAAGTCGGTTAAAAAATTAATATTCCTAATTTATTTTAACAATAGTCTGATCGAATAATTTAAGATTCAGTTTCTCATTCATTTTTACGAACAGCCTCGTAAATTAGGTAAGAACTTATCAAACTTAGCCAAGAACTTGAATCAATAGGCTTAGATATTATTTCTTCCATTCAATAGGTAATATTTCTTCCAGTTTATTAGGAAAATTATACCTAAGTTACAATCACGTTTCATTCATATGCATTCATTTGAATATTTAAATTTATTTAGTTACCTAAAGTTGACAATAAAATATTTATATTATAAAATATTTATAACTGAGTTCAAAAGAAAACAAGTTTTAAACTATGTAGCACTTACCTCAATTAGCCAAATTAAACTTTATCTCCACTAATAAGTCAACTAAAGTACACGCCTAGTTTCTATCACATGTGAGTAGCTACTAACATAATGCTTACGCCAAAGAAATCGCGCACAGCATTCTAAACAATCGATTACAACATAACAATATGTGGGACACACTGTGTCGTTGTCATTCTAACTACGTCTCCAGCAGGTTAATAAAGAATATCTACACATAATCGATATAAAGTGACTTTAAAATTGATTGTATTTTGTGTAAGTATAAATCAAAACAAGCCCTATACCATCAACCAAACTGATCAGAAAAATTTGCTCCCATTGGGAATCGAACCTGGGACCTCTGGGTCTTACCACTAGACTACAGAGGCGGTTTAAACGCTTGTTAGTCCCCCTAGCTACAACCATCTCACCTAACTCTCGCCATAACATCAATGTTAATAGCATTATTGTGTTCCAGCAGTTGGAGGTTAGCCAGTTCCTCTGTGGTTGAGGATTCCGAATGAAGCTCGCTTCCACCTTCGGCTTGAAAAATGATGATATTTTTCATCAGGTGAGATGCATGCCAAGAGCTTCTTTGTTGTTGATAAAAAAGCTAGTTTTATGATGATAACAAATAAGTGCCTTACAATGTTGATGTTAAGGTGCTATAACACGTATTTAATGCTAATTGCCATGATCTTCATTGAATGACAGCTCATTTAGGTACCTACCTGTTTAATTACCTAAGTAAGTTTGTACTTATTGTTTTTGTTGAGGTTTAAGTTCAATGTTTTGTTTCTATTGTTATACATACGTTATTGTCCTAAACACACTACCACACTAGGCTACCTATTGTAATTTAACCTTCATTTATTAGATCAATGCAATGAAGTTTAAGAAGATCATAAAGGGTTAAAGAGGATAGGGAAAACTCCCACATCTCGTTCCCATCGCTGCATCTCTTGTGTAGCCAGGATCTACAGCTTGACCGCCAAAAAAACCCAACCAAGGAAGGTCAAGTTTGTTCCGGGGGAAAGTTAAACTGTCATTGGAACCGCAACGAAAGTAATCAGATACTTAGGTGGAGTTTGAAGTTAAGAATCGACTTCCCTCTATAAAGCGGATGACAGGTGACAAACAAAGGTTTAAGTTTAGTAACTGGAAAGTTCTCTCACTTGTATCTTTTCTTTGGCTTACTTGAGATTGCAATTCAAATATTGATGTGTCTTAAACCGGCTTTCGAATGTTGGAGAATCGCCGGCATTCTTACGTAAGGTAAAAGTCGCGGTGAATAGCTGACCCAGACAGATGTTCACGACCTGTGTGACCGATCGGTCATGGGTATCACAAATGACAATGAGTAAAGATATTAGTCTTTTCAGCACCAGCCTATTATATTATGTTGTCCCATGTCCATAAGTGGTGGTAGGTATGAGTGCCCTGTTGAAAGGGCCTATCCTACTTACAAATAAATATTTTCATTTGATTCATGAACCAAGGAAACACAAGGAAATGTCGTGCATAGGCAATTGGGTAGCTTAGTGCTTTCTTGGAAAAAACATACGGGTCGAATTGAGAACCTCCTCCTTTTTTTTTGAAGTCGGTTGAAAATAGTTGTTGTTGTCTTTATCGGGTTGTCTGAAACCTGAAAGAAATCGCTTGATAGCGATAAGATTGCCCAAAACTAATGCCGTCCAACGTTTTACTTTTGTGTTTCCTTTACAATGTAACCAGCCTTTTTTGACGTGAAAAGCATGGCATGGAATGTTTAACTACTTCATCTTATTAAGATGATCTAAACAAATGACGATGATGTTGTATGATGATTGATTTGTAAAACAGACAAGATAAACTTTTTTACACCACTTCAAGACAAAGCAGAACAACCGGGGTTAAATTCCATAACAATCATGATATTAAATTTCCTCAGATTTTCAACTACGATGCATATTTTGGATTGTGATAATAAAGTTTTAGAAAACCTATCCATTTACCTATTCTCTATGTTTCTTACAAAAGTACTTATGATAATACAACTCACAATTATGTTGTTTTCTTGTTACAAAGGTATTTCCTTATGACGTATCGAATTAGTATTCAACGACCGCCCACGACAAGATGTGCTTGATTACTGAGTCAGTTAAACCACTGGTTAAGTCAAAGGGCATCTTAACTTGTTGTTAAATAAATTGTTTCCTTAACTTCTTATTCGTATGTAGGTACCTACTCGTATAATGCGGTTATTATGACGCGTTAGTTCGTGGTGTTTTATTTAAAGCCTCTTTGCTACTTTGGTAGGTACGTCATACTGGATTTTTCAAATATTGACAGCATGTAGGGGAGAGTTCGGTATATTGTACCGCCGGGTAAATTGTACCACCCTCATATTTCGTAAAGTATTTATTGAATGTCTGTAATTGCAACACTCAGCGATACACAACTAAAATCAATTAATATCGGCCATGTGGTTTTTGCCGTGACAACAAACACGTGTGTTTTATTTTGAAAAGTATTTTTTTATTGTTTTCAAGTAACTTTTGACAATACATGTTTAGTTTGTAATTTTGTTAAATTTAATCACAGGGTGTTTCTAATATGTTATTTAGAAGCGTAAATTATTGTGGATTACAATTATTTGAAACATTTTTCGGTATTTATAAGCTATATTTTTTACCGATTTTTTAAAAGCACTATCACCTAGTCGGCTAAATTGTACCTCATCAAGTTGTATGGAACTTTACCAAAGGATTTTGAATTTTTTTTAGTAAATAATATTTTGAAGTTATAATAACGTAGTTATGTTTGACTAACAATAAATGAAAGCAAAAGACTGGCAAAGTAGATTAGGTACAAGTGTGCGTTACGATAATTGGAATTACAAAACTTGTACTGAAAATCGTGATAACGTGTAAAACAATATCAATTGTCTATGTTATTAACTACTGTTCCTTTTCGTATCCTAATTTGTTAAGAATGTATCGTATAATATTTTGCCATAGTTTTTTTATAGACTTGAAATTTATTGAAATCCAATTTAGTAACCTTGTGGTACAAATTATCGAACCGGTTGGCTAAATTGGACCGAAGCTCTGAACTCGTATTTTGTTGATTTGTGCTAAATTTACAACAATCATGTTAATTAATACTTATGAAATAGTAAGTTGAATAATGTATCCTTTATTATATACCATGGACATTAGCAAAAGCAAAAGAAAACTATGTGTAAAATGGGATTGAAAAAAACTGGTCCAAATTAGGGGACTCTCCCTTACGTATAGAAAATAAGTTAGGTACATCATAGAATTATAGTTTTCACAAATACCTATAAATCTATATAAATAAAAATTAATTGATGTTCGTTAGTCTAATTAAAACTCGAGAACGGCTGGGCCGATTGAGCTGATTTTGGTTTTAAAATGTTTGTCGTAGTCCAGGGTAGGTCTAAACGGTGAGCAAATACGCGCGCGAAATTGTTTTTCTGTGACAGACAAAATTCCACGCGGGCGAATCCGCGGGCGGAAAGCTAGTAAAAAAATATAGTTTATGCACACTTACACGTGCTTACACAGTGTATGCCTTAGGAATTTTGAAGGTAGATAGGACGGGTTACCTTCACCATATCGAATAACAATTAATTGATCGAAAAACATCGAATACGATTTATCGAAAACTCAAAACATTGAACGATTAAAATATCGAATTTACTGTTAACAGTTTTCTTTAGTGGCAATAACAAGCTAGTTTGCACCAATTCGGTCTTTGGCCGCAATATTTTTATTACCACCATAATTACAGTTTTGGTTCAAATCACAGTGTATTTTTTGTTGTTCGTGGTTTGACTTGCTATGCTCTCGCGCTTGTATCTTCATAACTGCTCATTCGCATGATAATTCGTGTTTTTTTGGAAATAATGGGCATTAGATAGTGGAACGGAGGTTCTGGGATAACGGTACCGAACTCTACATAAGTAGGCAAATCGCTACTTTAATAATTGATAGTAGGTCAGAAAGACTTTTCTTTTGCTTTTCTTAATAATTTCAACCCTCATACTACTTAAAAGTAGAACTTGAGTAGGTATAGTCGGTTTGAAGCACCTTATCTAAGAAATGTGTCCATGTTTCATTGTCATTGGCCCACTGCTGGACATTGGAGAAGACCCCAACAAAATAGCTGAGCTATTAATCAGGCTACTGGGACCGCGGTCCCAGTTATAGATCGTGTCATCCACGAAGACGCGCCCCACCATTCTTCCGCTAATGTTTGAGTGTTATCGGTAGGTAGTACACGCTAAATTATAAGTGTCACTTGTTGTTTAAATTGAATAAAATATTTTTGATTTTGATTTTTAATCCATGAGTGCACACTACAATAATGACGCTCGCATTGCTCGGATCAAACTCCCCGCACCTCGTGTTTCCCTCGACCAAAAATTGGTAGGGCGCGTGAAACTATTTAAATGTAGCGGATCCAGTCGCTTGAAAACTCTTTTTTTTTTAAGATTATTAGCAATTTGTATTGCCCAAATTACTAATAGTCCCGTTAGCCCCTCGTGTTAAGCTAAATGAGCTTGTGTTACGAGTGGGCTCACCACAATAGTCGAGCGGCGCGGTGGGTTTCGAACCCGAGTTCCTGGGATCTCGAGTCGGCCACTCCGACCCCTTCACCGTTCGGCTATTGTGGCATCGAATCTATAAGGGTTCAGCTTGAAACCTCTAAGCAGATGTGGCAGCATAATCTTTGAAATTCCTAGAACGTGATATAGCCATTTGAGTAATATCAATTTCAAAAGAAAGTTGAGATGAAATTGAAGCCTGTGGCTTTCTTGAGAACCAATCTATCTGCAGATTTCCAACTGATTCTGATTTCTAACTGTAGCTACATCAGATGCATGCATTCATATGGCAGTTACATAATATGAGATTCGTAATAATACGGTGAAGTATCAATAACTCCTTTAGGTACCTCCTTTTTAACTTTCCTTACTTTTACTGTTGATTTATACTTAGCCTTAATTACCTACCTACTCGTAACTATAACTACTCGAATACTGAAACGGTATCTAATACTTCAAACATTAATGTTGTGTGATCCGTTGATTTTAAATATTGTGTACGTATTAGGTTAGAGGCTACAGAGGTCTTTCAAACAATTCGAAGACTTATTTATTTACCTACTAAGATGTGATAAATATAATTATCTAAGTACCTACTTATTAATTACCTACGCAAGAAAATAAAGTTGTGACATTTTCAGACATTTTGACAGAGAAAAATAAGTTTTTGTTAGTTTGGTTTTTGTTGGCTTCCTAGATAGCTAAGTATAGCATACGAAGCAGTTGAGATAAGACGTAGGCATCCGTCACGTAAGGATTTTCCAAAGTTTACCTCTAAACTCTCCTCAGCTTTAAGGGGATGAAATGGGGGTTCAAAGTTTAACGCGAACGAAGCCGCGGGCAAATTATTAATCTAAAACGATAAACAAATCTATTTTGAAGTCTCAAAACCGGTTCAAATGCGATTATTGAACCCAGAACGATTCGCGATCATAATAATATGCTATTAACTGTACAGTCAGCGTCAAATAGTTCGTAACACCCAAAGTGGCCAAAAAGTTGTCAACACCCTTATTCAATTTCCAACAAAGACGTGTTGTGAACTTTGTGGCTACTTTGGTTGTCACCAACTCTGAGACAGACTATCGTCTACTGTGCAATTACGAATACTGAAGAACTCGATGGAGAGATTGGTTGGTAGTTCAGGGCCAGGTGGAAGGTAAAAGAGCACGCGATCGATCGCCAACCCGCTGGATAGACACTATCACAAAGGCTACTGAGTCCACCATGGTCCAGTGTACTTGCGACGCCTCATCACCAGGAGCACATCGCCAAGAGAGCTACCCTCGGAGATGACATCGAACACCCCACCGTGTAGGTACCTCGTCAGCGCAACCACGACCACTCTGACAAGAGTGCCCGATTAAGAAGAAACTATATGACGCTGACTGTACTATGTTATAGAGTCGCTAAATATTTAATAGCATCACGTAGGCGGACAGATCGTCGAAGTCAAATAAGTGGTGAAAGCGACTTTTGAAAAGACGGAGTTTTAAAATATGTTGCATTCGTTAATTTGGGGAAACCCAAACAGCTTTGTTGTAGTAAACAGGTTTGCGGTTCAGTCACCTGTTAATTGTGTTTAAAACCTATACAAAAAGAGTATGGTGAATTAAAGGTCACTTTCACTGGTGCTGGTAGTGATAAATACAAATAGTTACTGACAATGTACCGGCTAATCTCATCACTTTCGCTGATGAAGTTGTCTTAAATGTAGATAGTAGGTACCTACTGAAAATGTACCGACTAACGGCTAATCTCGGAAACTATTTTATAAACTGACGATTCTCATTTATCACCAATAAGCGAAACGCTGAAAAAGTCAACAGCACCTTACCTATTTATCTATATGATTAGGTTTGTTAGTTTCTAATCGGATAACTTCATGACTACGTCGAGATGAAAGGTCAAGTTGTTTCAAATTATTTATTAGTATGTACTAGGTAGGCCCCTTTCTTCAGACCTGCATTAAATAATACGCACTCTACATTTTCAGTTAAGTAATGGACTATCAAACAGTTAAAGAAATAAAAATCCCCTCCGTACTCTTGCGAGTCAAAAATCAAAATCAAAATTATCTTTATTTCTGTAGACTAATTAAATGAGTAGCTACTAACAAATCGTCATTCATAAGGAGCATAGGCTCCTTATGAGCCAAATATTCATTCGAGCTTTGAGATTTGGCAAGTGCTGAAATGAAGCGCCGCAACAAACTCAGTCACCACTGTCAATTCATAAATACAAAAATGGTTTTCTGTGAAATGTCACGGTATTTTTCTGCCATAAACGTTAAAATTCAATTAGTATACAAAAATACCTGAAAGTAAACTGTACTTACTTGCAGCTTTTCAGTTCACACCGGTAAAACACTTCACTACTAATCAATGGCACGCGCTACACCGTGGTCCGCCTCCAAAGAACTGCGCCGGCGCATTCTCTTAGCGGCCCAACACCTGTGAGAGTTCGAGACGAAGCTTTCTCGTGGTGCTGACAGAATAGAGCGGGCGCTTGTAACATGATTCCACTGTGTCAACTGTAGTACCTTTCGTATTATGCAAAAGGTAGATATTAGTTTGTTTGTTATCA